CACCAGGTGACTGATGTACGTCTCGTGTGCTCTTAACTTTGTAGCTTTAAAGTGCTGGGAAAATTGTAGAACATATATTAACTCACTGCTGAACCGAACACCGGCTTTTGCGCACCTTTGAACCCACTCGCTCAAATTTTCTGTTTTTTTTTTTTATATTTGTGTTCCTTTCCCATTTCAAAACAAGGAAAATTGAAAGTGTTTACTTACATCAAGAAACGTTTCGGCACTTTGTTTAGACTTTAATGAGGTCAGTGCAATCCTACAAGCACTACATATACGCGCGCTGTTGTCCAACAGGTCAAGTCGGGAGATGAAATTTGATAGTAGCTCGTGGTATGTTAAAGCCGATCTACTTCGCTTTTGAGACAATGTTAGAGTTTATTGCAAACTACACATTTTGTTAAATCAAGAGCACATTTGGAAGACCAACGAGCAAAATAATCGCGATCATGATAGCTTTAAGACGCGCCATTTTGATGAAGGTAGACCCTGTGGTGAGCCTCCATGCACATCGCTTGTTCAGCGGTCGCGCATGCTCATGCAAAAAAGACCCCTGTTGTAATGTGCATAATATACATTTGACTTCTATGAGCTTTTTGATGAGGTAACCCCGTCTCTTTCCCTTAAAAGGAGTCTTCAGTTAGTTAGAATTGCATAACGGCAAGAAAACTCATCTGATTAAAGAAGTAAGATAAATATTGAGAGCCAAAATGTTCCCTTCCAGAGCATTCTCTGTAGAAAACTCCTTGCCACATTTGGGACAAATTGTGTGTGACAAAGTTCCTGTAAAGTCCATGACTGGCGACCTCTTGCTGCATTTGGGGCACTTGTATTCAGCTCGCTTAAGACTTGGCAACAACTCCATTAATATCCCGGCATTGATGGATCCAAATTTCTTGAAATAGGTTATTTCCTCCTCTTTTAAATCATCTTCTGTCCAGTAAACGTCAATGAATGTTAATCCAAGAACTTCTGCTTTCTGCACTCTGAAAAATCCCTTGTCCGCCCAGTCTTCTCCCCTAGAATTCAGCAGTCGTACACATTCACTGTTGAAACTGGTTAACACAACTGCATGGCCAAAGTCAGGAGTTTCGGGAGGACGGGCTGTTATATCGATCTCCTTCTTCGTCAAAATGCCTTTTGGGTTACTTTCATAGAAATCTTCAAAACTATGCCACTCCTCCTCAGTGAGCCTAAATGTTGCCACTACTGGTCGACTTGAAGCCACTGCTTGCATGGCTCCCTCGAGGTTGACTAGCTTACACCGCAGGCGGTACTTCGGGCACATTTTCTCTAGCACACGGAAGGTAGGGACACCGTCTGGATATTTTTCACAATCTTTGACAATTTCTTCTCTTAGTTCATGGAAATTTGGATACCCGCCTTCGCGTCCAAGAATTCTTCTCATGGACAAGTAAAGTACTGTAGCAGCTGCATTGGCATAGGAGGTCTCCCCTTCTTGTACTCTTTTGGCTCTTAGGTCCTTTACTTCTTCGTTGATATAGAGATCTAAATCAACGGATGCAAGCAAGTCAGATAACGCGTCTTGACAACAAACGACATTTCGGGCCACCGCGCAGATCTCTCGCAAGTTGTCTGGGTGATTTAACTGCAAGAACAACTGTGTTTCATTGTTGGTGTGATCGATGGTCCAACCACGTTTAACAAAAATTGTGCGTGGCAGCGATTGCGTTGACACTTTTGAGCTCAATGAGAACAGGAACTTTGCACCCCTATCCCAGGCAGGTCCCATCTTGCTGAACAGTCGTCTAGGTTCAATTTGTGTGGAGTGAGAGACAAGGCAGCTCACTACGGTCACACCTGCTGTGGTCAATTTAGAGACTACTCGATCTGTTCCTGCACCATCAGCACATGTAGTCTCTCCATCGGTTGGTTCTCCGCCTGATAAGATGAACAGCAGTTTTTTGTGACTGGAAAACCTAGAAGCTTGAAACAGTTCTATTGTCTTCTCAATGGATTGATATAAAGGCGTTCCGCCGTAAATGTAAGGCTCAACGCTCTGCAGTAGTTCCCGGGATTTTTCTTTAGAGAGTTCTTTTTCACCAACGCACCCATGAAGAACATTTAAGGCATCTTTAACTTTGAAAATGGAATTAACAGTCACACCCAACAGACATACTTGTTCTTTGTCTTCTTTCAGCAAATAAGGCTTGGCCTGATTAAATACTTCCCTGACGTCTGTAACTGTAGCTCTTACAAAGCTGCTTGCCACTGATGCAAACGCACTTTGCACTGCATCAGTAAAAGAAGATAGGCCTGTCATCTTCGCCAGGGCGCTTTCAGACCAATCCCGGCAAGCTGGTGGTAGAATCTCTTGAACAAATTTTTCAAGAAACGACCTGTCAGACTTCAGTTTGTTCAGTAACAAATCAGCCTCTGTATACTTCATTGCCCTGACGACATCTTCTTCCGCTGCCCATTTGCGAACAGTAAGTGCGCCGGATCTCTCTAATATTCGGAAAATCATGTTTATTTGCGTACTAGTGGCAGGCCTCTCAACACCACCTTCAGTTTTTTCGCCTCCATACTGAATCTGTTTAAGAGTTCCTATGATATCAAATATGCCCTCACCAGTACATGCCCCAACGCCTATTGCAAATAAATGGTTATCAGAAGATATATCATATTTGATAAGGTTATCAATAACCTCAAAGATCGAGCGAGCCCATGGTCCTCCTTCTTCATCAGTACGTCTCCTGATGTTATGACGCATGGAACGGGAGACATCAAGGAGGATTCCAGTCAAATATGCCATTTTCCCTCTTTCTGCAATAAGAAAAGATTCGATATCTGTCACACAAGTTCAAACAGAGAACAGAACAGTTACTGTAGTAAACAACCCACTACGAGAGCCGAGTGCAGTCCACTACGCACGCAGATTGAAAACTAACATTCAGAGAGAAGGGGAGTTATGAAAAGCGTTTTTTTGGGGGGTAAGTGGGGGGGGGGGGGGGGGAGGGGAGGAAGTTTTTTAGCAAAGGGGGGCTTTTGCCGGTCCTTCTTAGGTAGGGTTTTACCAAAAATTAATATTTGGGTAAGAAGTAAAAAAAAAAAAACAAATAAAAAAATAGGATTAAAAAAAAAACTGGAGACAGGATT